ATTCCTTCCCCCCGTCCTATTCCAAATCCTTATCCTGGCCCCTTCCCAGTGCTATATTGTCGTAATGGTTTGGCGCGTTCCCCTGATAACTCCCTCTGCACTATATCTTTCACATGTTTCTATCAAGGTTCCCATTGCATTTTTGATCAATGTGAGCAGAACTACATCACCAGCATAACAGAATACATTGGCCTTAGTATTTATTACCTATGTGACAGCCAGCTCCACTGGTTCTTAACTCTTTCAACAATGTATCAAGATACATAGCAAATGATATAGGACTAAAAACAACACCTTGTTTGACCCCATTTATTAGTGAGAAATATTGCTCCTACGAAGCGCACACCTTAAAGTAAGGTGTGTTGTTTATACACTAAACCTTCAGCAAGCACTAAGCCTTTATACATCCGCTTTCTCTTACCTGGCCCAACAGGCATGCTCAGTTCTGAGGGCCCCGTGTGGCACCACAACAGACGCTTTGCTATCCAGCAGCTCAAGAACCTGGGCATGGGCAAGTCTCTACTGGAGGTGACGGTGCAGAGAGAGGCAAGACGTCTTCTCAGTGATCTGGAGCACACGCTCGGCCAGCCCACCGAAATTACCTGGAACATTAACGTGTGCATTGTTAACGTTTTGTGGGAGCTTGTAGCAGGTGAGAGCTTGTAGCAGTTCATAAAATGAGACACGAGAACCCAGTAAGGTATAAAACAACAGCATAGCTTGCAGTTACTAAAAAATGGTGACAAAATCATGTTTTTAGTTTAGTTTAGTTCATTTATTATGCACCCCATACCCATCTTGTGGACGGTAGTGGAAAGGGTTACAGAGGCACATAATGGGCTCAGGGACTGAACCCCACAATACATTTAGCTAAGCAAGTTGCAATCTTGATGAGCTAGTTACAAAATTCAGTATAAGTCGTCATATCAACAATGGGTTCGGGATCGACCACAAGTACAGTTTCTAAATTAAGCAACTGACATATGTGGAGTGCTAGTGTCAAAATTGATATGTTTGTCCTGCACACCGCCCCCCATCCAGTGGGCAGCGGTGGATAGGTTACAATCACTTAGTTACTACCTACAGTTTGCAAACTGGGGATATTTGGCAAAAATTTCTGATAGCAGATAATTTTGAATTAAATATTTACACATTGGTGGAACATTGGTTATAGAATTGTCTCTGAATTCACGTATCTTTTCGCACTCCATCACATAGTGACGGAGGGTGTGCGAATAATTTTTTTGACACAGTTTACATTTGGTCAGGTCTACATTAGCAGATAATGAGAATTCCCAGCATGCAAATGGAAAATCACAAATAAATTATTATTATAAATATTGTATATGAACAAACAAAAGCTGAATAAATGCTAGGAAAGCTGAAGAGCCATGTGAATAATTCAACATTTACCAGCTGAGAGTTTCAATAAGCCCAAGGCAAATTTATTAGCACAATCTCTATACACAAATAACAAAAGCTTGGCACATCGGTATAGAGCACAATGCGCATGTTTCCTCTTGATTTGATTATGCGGCTAGTTTATAGTGCACCCCATACCCATCCTGTGAGCGGTAGAGCAAAAAGCATTACAGAGAGCACGAAAGGTCTTTATCAGACCTCAACGGAGATTATTACATAAACAATTTCATCTATCCTTCACACCTTATAATTACAATGTCAGCTAGTTACAGAGAATGTTCTATTTCAAGAGCTACATATTTACAGTAAGTCATACATTAATGGTAGGTCTTATCGCTAATACATAATTGTTTGAGCAGTGGAGATATTACAGTACGGTGGCTGCTGTTTATTATTAGTCTTTACAATACGCTACTTGTTTCTTGATCCCATATGTCGTTTATCTACTGGAAGCGAAATATGGATACAGATTTTAGGTATTTTATCCATAGTAATAAGATAGGTTGCCATATCATACAACGTGAGTTTAGATTTATCTCTAAATGGCTCGATTTTACTACAGTCCAAGATATAGTGTTCGAGTGTGTGTGTCCCTGTCTTTGTCCACACACTTTACCTCATCTAGATCCCTATACAAGCCGAACTGTTTCCCCTTGGCTCGGTTGTTCCTGGGTCTCTGTAACACAGTTGGATTCATTCTCGACACTCAATCGGGAATCCCGGACGGGACAGAAATGATTGAGCACGTTTACTTTCACCTAATGCCTCTGTTCACCTACCAGTAAATAGGTACCCCTGGAGTTATAGACAGCTGTTGTGGGGTTGCATCCTGTGTACATATAACATCGAGAAACATTTCGTTTGGTATTTGAGATACCAAAGATTCTTGATTCTTGAGATCGAGAGATTGAGATTGAATCTCAAAGATTAAGATTCTTGTTCAATGACTACTCACAACTCTGTGATTGTTGTCTATTTTTGTTCTGTTATTATGTTTAGTATATCACCTATGCACGTAGTTAATAAGTCAATATTGACTATACGAATTTGCGAGAACGGGTTGCGTAGACACATTGTCTGTTTTGTAGGCATTTTTAATCTTTTTAAGCATTCCATAGATAAAAGGTCTAGAGGTGGGATGAACGAGGAGGGTATTGTATGAAACCCCTTCGTCCAATCTTCCTGTTTGGCAAGATCTCATCAAGGTAGGCTCTTGCATCACGATGGCAGTAAATGCAAGATCTACCAGAATCTAGATAGAATCTTTGTAAGATCTACCAGATTCTAGAAAGAATATGCCCATCGTAGATTCTACCCATTGTAGGTAGTTACGATAGTAATTCACATCGTAACTACCTACGATGAACTACGGGCTTACCATAGCCCGTGCTCCCTGGAACTCTTTTGTTCCAGGTAGCGAATCTTAAACAGCAACAACAACTTACGATGGGCATTACCCATCGTAGGTAGTTACGATGTGAATTACCATCGTAACTACCTACCAGGTAGTTACGATAGTGATTCCCTGTTAGTTTTGAGCTCAAAGCCAACACATCCTTCATGTTTGGTTACGCCGCGTAACCTAGCACTATTGAGGTTGACCTTGTAACCCAATAAACATGCCATATAAGTTCAGTAGAACTTCGGTTTCAACCCTTTTAACCCTGTCGTAGCTCAGACGATTAAGGCAGTGTCTGGGATGCTGATGCCCAGACGCAGGTTCGAATCCTCGTCACGGCCCTTGTGGATTTGTTCATGCCATATAAGTGTTCAACCCTCCAAGTTATAGCCTGTTTTAATATACAGTCACGCCACCTAATCTAATTTTTTTCAGCCCGCCGATACGATATTAACGATGAGAAGATTCGAACTCTTTCAAAGAAGGCTGCTGACAATTTTGACATCATTCAGGGCCCCTTGGCTCTGCTAGACCTGTACCCCTGGCTCCGTTCTCTGCTGCCGGAGTTCCTGAAGAACGCCTGGATGAAACTGAACGAGGTCAAGCAAAACAGGGACAAGCTCGATGCTTTCATGCACGTAAGGCAGTGCTCGTTGGTAGCTTGTTTGATTTAAAACATTAATACATAATATATATATATGTGTATATATATATATATATATATATATATATATATATATATATATATATATATATAATATGATTTACACATAAGTATATTTATCGTTATATATACAGTACTGTATATTGGAATTTTGTGTATTGCAAAAAATACACATTAATTTCTATATATATATGGAACATTTTGCATATTGCTATAGTGAACAAACTTTGCATATCCCAATATTGAACAAACAATCTTACTTTAAAATAACAAGTAAACAGTGAGTCACTTCTAAAATGATCACTTGCAGGTTGGTCAGTTAGCTCCCGTGGCGGCATTAATAACTCTTCCTTGGTTGATAGACCTTAAGACCAACGCTATATTATGTAGAATGGTTGCTCTTGCACGTTGCAACTGGGACACACCTCCAGCACACTCTACTTAAAACATATCATCTATCAACAACTCTTACGTTCGAAATCTACCTCATGATTAATACTACTTTCCCAGTTAGACTGTAACAGTCTTTTGTTTCTTTAGGAAGAGCTCTTGTAAGGCATCTTAAAATGATGAAAAGTCATCTTCCTTTGCCACCAGTGGAAAGGGTTACAGAGGCACATAATGGGATCAGGGACTGAACCTCACAATTCATTTTGTAACTTGCTTAGCTAAATGAATTGTGGGGTTCAATCCCTGAGCCCATTATGTGCCTATGTAACCCTTTCCACTACCGCCCACAAGATGGGTATGGGGTGCATGATAAATGAACTAAACTAACCTTTGCCACCATTAATATGGTATTATCTACAAAATTGATAGCATGGCTCAAAGTATGGTTGCATTAAATGTTGTGTCAGTTTCTATACTTAGAAAAATACAAAATATATATATTCAACCTTCCCACCCCCTGTTGCAGGATATAGTGATGGAACACCTGGAGAACTTCGATCCTAGGGATCCCCAGGACTTCATCGATGCCTTTCTCGTTGACCATGTCACCAGCCCACACAATCCCTCCGACCACAGGAAATATCTTCTCTCTGAACCGGATTGTAAGTTCGTAGATTTGAATTTATGCTTGACTTTAAGCAGCTAGGATATTTGAAGAGTCTACCCCCCTTCACCGCTTGAAATAATTTACTGTTTTCCAATGTATTTTAGGTTTTGGCCAAAACGCTATGCGTAATATTGGCTTCATTAGTTTGTGCAACTTCTGTCCCCATAATTGTACCGTTCCTCTTTTGTTCTTTGTACACACATTCTTTTGAATGGAAATTTCAATTTGGATGGCATCATGCCATAAACTCTTATGCTGAAAGATTGTTCATAATTTCGTTTTTTTTTCTACAGTCTTTTAAGATGTCAATTTGCCAATAAGGACTTTATGAGATCTGACTGAAGGTTTTAATTGATGAATTCTTTACAGGAGAAAGAACATTTTCAAGTCTACTCTCAACTTTTTCTGTACATCATCGTCTGTGTATAACTTGTGCAACTGTCCCGGCTTGTACTATAGTGTTCAACTTTGCAACTGATCTCACTTTCAATGCACTGCTCGATTGGTTCTTGCTACGAGTGGTGGCTAGTTTATTGTACACCCCATACCCATGCTGTGATCGGTTGCACACAAGGATTACAGAGGGAACAAATTATTGTAATCAAATCTCAGTGGGTATTTGACATTACCCACCGAGTTTGCAGTGTTTTCTACATTACTGGTTGGCCGTTTATCTGACCACCTATTCCCGTCGTCTCTTGCAGGGTTCAGTGTAACTATTGCCCCACTTCCAGCCCACCTATGAAGTGAAGGTGGTGGAGGCCAAAACTGTCAGTAATTTCAAAGCGTTATATGACAAAGAGTACTGGGAAGACGGGACACCAGGAGCGTAGCTCTCATCCTGTAACTACACTTGGGTAATTACACTTAGGTAATTACCTATCACTGTATGAATAACCCCCCACACACTTTTCCGTTAATCATGACCACAATATTATTAATAATACATTGATAGGATAACGATAATAACATAGATAGAACCTTGGAGTACTGTTGGCTTTGTTCTCGACTCGCAATTGGGAATCCTGGGTTAGATTCCCGGACGGAATGAAAATAATTGGACAAGTTTCTTTTCACCTAATACATCTGTTCACCTGGCAGTAAATAGGTACCAGGTAGTTAGGACACTGTTGAACAGACCTCAATTCTCAAGTCGATTGACTTGAGAATGGTCCAGGACGGACCGAAACGTCGTCGTCCCTTCAACTTCTAGTGTGTGGTCTGGACAACATACTTCAGCCACGTTATTGTGACTCATCGCTTGAGTTAGGACACTGTTGTGTGTGTGGCATCCTGGAGGGGGCAGGGGGAGTTATACAAGCCTCTACTAGTATGCACTATACATACACAGGTTTCCTTTCCCTGACAAATGGGAAATATTATTCATTAAGCATCCCAGGTACTATTGTGAATTTTGTTATAAAATATAAACAATTTTGCTATAATTACTGAATCTTTTGGTGTGTAACTACACCTTTTTTGTAAGATCTGTATCTGTTTCCAACTTTACCATTTGAAGAAGCAGCAGAATTATAGCATAAATATTTTTGCAATCTGTTAAAAAAATCAAATCTTCTTCCAGATAATTATTTTACTTTGTTCAAATTCTTTCATTTGACCTCATTAAAATATAACATAACTTCCTTTCAGTGCGGAACTTGAAATCAAATCTAAGTGACCTCTACATGGCGGGGACAGAAACAACGTCTTCGACTCTGCGATGGGGTTTCCTGTACCTGGCAATGTACCCACAAGTTCAAGCCAAGATCCAGAAGGAGATCGATGCCGTCTTGCCAAGAGACACCTTTCCTGCACTCGAGCACAAGGACAAGTGGGTATGATATGCTTCATGTACATTAATCAAACATTACTGTCTTGGCTTCATTCATGCTTTTTTTTAAGTATTATAGCTAAAAAAATGTATTAGTGAATTGTTAATTATATTGTAGCTATGAATTTGCTTGAAATGAATGTTATGGAGCTAACTCCATAGTGATACTTATACACGTACTCCAGTTGTCAACACACTCAAGTCTAATGTGTTCCATGTGTCAACATCCAACCCTGACCCACACACATACAATGTGTCAACATCCATCCCTGACCCACACATGTGTCAACATCCAACCCTGACCCACACACGTGACAACAAGCAACCCTGACCCACACACATGTGACAACACCCAACCCTGACCCACACAATGTGTCAACATCCATCCCTGACCCACACAATGTGTCAACATCCATCCCTGACCCACACAATGTGTCAACATCCATCCCTGACCCACACAATGTGTCAACATCCATCCCTGACCCACACAATGTGTCAACATCCATCCCTGACCCACACAATGTGTCAACATCCATCCCTGACCCACACATGTGACAACACCCAACCCTAACCAACGAGGTTCCCCCTCTCCATCAACAAGACCAGTGACAGTGACTGCCACTGCAGTAGTCATTATTTTAAACCTCTAGCAATCATATTACAATATACAGTATTTTAAATGTGTAAAGTTATTGCATAAAATGATGTTCTTTTATCAGGCTGGTGTACCTTGAGGCAGCGCTGAGGGAGATACAGCGAAAGGCCACAATTGTTCCTATGGGTGTCAGTCACTTGGCCACCTCTGACACCATAGTGGCAGGCTACTGCATTCCTAAGGTATGATCTTCTTCTTGAGGTTATCTTGAGATGATTTCGGGGCTTAGCGTCCCCGCGGCCCGGTCCTCGACCAGGCCTCCTTTTTGTTACACACCCCCAGGAAGCAGCCCGTGTCAGCTGTCAGACTCCCAGGTAACTATTTACTGCTAGGTAACAGGGGCGTCAGGGTGAAAGAAACTTTTTGCCCATTTGTCTTCGCCTCCACCTGGGATAGAACCCGGAACCTCAGGACTATGAATCCGAAGCGCTGTCCACTCAGCTGTCAGGCGCCCTATAGTCATATCCAATACGTTATTTATTTATTTATATACAAGAAGGTACAATGGGTTTATGAAAGTCTACATTCCAAAGGTATGAAATGTCACATCTCAACAAAAAAATTGCAGCAGGCTATGCATACCTAAGGTATGCTAGCTATATCACCAATATAATAGTGGCAGACTGCATCCCAAAGGTATACTAGTCACCTCTGAAGCCACAGTGGCAGGTTATACCATCCTAATATATTGATTTATTTATTCTCTTTATGCTTGTATATGGCATCTGTAAACCCTGGAGCCTCACATCTTCAGTTTTGCATAACCCAGATTAATTAGTAAACATTTCCCAAGTTTACTTTACATTCTCATGTAATATTTACTAATTTATTCAAGATAAATTTACCTATCAATTCAAGTTACTTTCATATGCTCCTTAAGAGTGAAACACACATGAGCCTGAATTCACACCTACAGCATTCATTATTATATCTTGTTATCAGTAATATACTGCATTTACATGATTATCTAAACCAAGGATATGTTATGTTTCACCTGCATTTACAACACGTTATAAAGTATAATACGTATAAGTTGCAATATTTGCAAATTTACTGGGATTTTAATAATAATTGATATTGCAAATTATTAATGCCAGTATTGTATAATCCATATGACGTAAACATTGATGTACAGTACACCTGACTCTAGGGCACAATGGTGATGGCAGCCATGGAAGGTTGTCACAATGATCCCCAGTACTGGGAGCGACCTCAAGACTTTTACCCGGAGCATTTCCTTGATGAGCAAGGAGAGCTCATCAATAAAAGGGAAGGATTCTTACCCTTTTGTTTAGGTGAGTCACTTACATGGGTAAATGTATACTGTACTATAATGACACCCCTAAGTGTTGATACTGTTTCAGCCTCGCTACTGTTTCAGCTTTGCTATTGTTTCAGCCTTGTTACTGTTGCAGCCATGTTACTGTTGCAGCCATGTTACTGTTTCAGCCTAATTACTGTTCCTGCCTATTGTTACAGTCCCAGCCTTTTACTGTCCCATATATATAACTGTCCTAGCCATGTTACTGTTCCAGCACTCTTTACAGTGACTTATTCTTCACTTTCTGGTACTTGGCATAATTATATACATATTCATACTTGTATTTGATTTCTTCTTTCTAACATGCAGGAAGACGTCAATGCTTCGGGGAGCCCATAGCCCGTCTGGAGCTGTACATCATCGTCGCAGCACTGCTACAGAAGTACACTATTACGCTTGCTCCCAATGAGAAGGTCTCCACAGAAGGTGACCCCCGCAGACCTCTGTTCAATTTTGCTAGACCATTTAAAGTAATACTTACTAAACGAGACTGACCATATATGTGTAATGATTATATAATTGCATGAATTAGCGTGCCCCATTCTTGGATAAGAAGCAATGTTCTCAACATGGTAGGTTTCTTGAGTTGGGAAAGTAGCAAAACCAATAATTAAGAATGATGGAGTTGAGAATGTCTTCCAATTTTTTTTAATTATGTAGCCAACCAAATAAAGAAAAGTAGACAATATCAAACAATTTAAAGCACTTTCTAAAACAATCAACATTGTAAACCTAAAAAAAACTGACAAGTTTGCCCCATATATATTTATGTATAAAATATATCTTTCAAAATGAAATAAAAAACAATATATAATTATATGATCTGTTGTTCTGTAGATGGGAACTAAACAGTAAGTACCTCTAAACAACGGACAATGGACATGCACTACACTTGTGTGTGTGTGTGTGTATATACACTGAGAGTTTACTTTAGCTGTGGACTGTGTCCAGAACTAATGTATACAGTACTTGCAGGTTGGTCATTAAGAACTTATGGTGGCCTTAATAACCGTCCAGAGGTTGATAGGCATTAACCCCAACACCAAGCCAAAATAACAGTAGACATAACAGATTATACAGAACATCACTGACGGGAGGATCATCCCATTTACTGTACTATGTAAGGATATCAGAGTACCATAAAAAATTTCAAAACTTATGAAAACTTATTTAAATTACTGGGCTGGAATATATTTTGAAAATACTGTACTAAGGAGCGACAATCCTTCAAAACATACTGTACAGCATCCGAAGGTAATAATGCATCGCCTGTACAGTACCTCAATAAGTGGGAGCAAATTGGTTACATTTCTTAAACTTTTATATTATTTTATAAAATTCAGGGAGTTAATTTTGAATATGTTCAAGTGTGTGTGTGTGTTATTATCTAGCCAAAAACTGTGTACAATTTAAAAATTATATTATATAAATACAACAGATAGAGGTTAAGTCTCAATCAACTCGTTGAAGGACGACTCCACTGTTCATAAAAGTGCAGATATGTCAGGAGAAAAATTATGTTATTTGTTCTCTTGGATCCTTCATGGTGACCATAATTTATGCATACTCTTAAGTCTTGTTAATGTGCCAGAACAAAATGTTTTGTAAATTGTGTATACAGTACTTAAGATATAACAGTTTAAAGAAATAACTTTCATTCCTTTATACAGTACTAGATATAGGAAAGAAAAAGGTAAAAATTGATTTTACTCCAAGTTATGGCGATACCTTGTCGAGCACAGGAAACCTATGCATAGGCTTTCCATAACCTACTACAGTATTCAAGGCTTTTTGAAAAATCGATTGGCTAAGGTCTAGTAAGGACCTGTACTCAAGGCCTGTCGGAGATCCACTAGCTAAGGTCTAGTTGCAGTCCCTACTCAAGGCCAGTCAAGGACACCCTAGCCAAGGTCTGCCGTAGACTCCATACCCAGACTGTGTTCACATGGCCAGACACAACTTTACCAACCTGACCGGCCAAACATCGTATTCATTATCCATAGTGGCCTATGGTTCACAGACTAATCAATCAAGTTAACAAATTTTCCTCTACATAATATAAAGTTAATAGACTTTGAAACATGTTTCAGGTTTGTCAAACTATGTAGCATGGTTTAATGTAGTCCAACTATATTGGTGATACTATATAGTAGAAGTGCTCTCACATAGACTACAATTATAAAACACTATAGTTTTCTTAAATCCATAATTTATATGACAGTATACAGAATCACTGCAGTCATTTGCAACATGAAGGCCATACATTATTCAAACTTCCATGAGAGCAACTTGAGCAGGTTAAGGATAAATGTATACCAAATACTGTACATAGAAAATATATTTTGAAAGAGGAAAACTATACACAAGTATAATTTCTTATTTCCATGGGGTGTAATAAAAAATTATAAAAGCAAGTGTTATAAAGCAATACAAAAATTACAGAATATTTTAATTTGAAAACATGTCTGTAATATTACATATTTACTAATACTGTACTGAAGCAATAATCACTAGCAATATATCAATTCATATGTGCCAAAATATCCAGTATATATTCATCAGAAACTAATTTTTCCTCTGTTGTATCCATGGCTGTTGACAAGAGGGCAGCAAGAACATGTTTACACACTATGCTCTCTCTTCTCTTGACTACAGCATATTTAAATGCAGGACACTGACAGAAGGTAGAATGAGGGAGACATACGTATGGGGTTCCAGAGGTGCCAGTAACTTGGTATACCCAGCGTCCACTGCTCGATGTAACCTTTGTAACCTGGGAGAATGTTACAAACTTAGATAATAACTAGATATCTCTTGATCAACTGCAATGAAATTATATCTCACTAGGATGACATTACACCCCAATGTAATGAAAACTGGGGATGGAATGATTACAGGGTGCTGCAAAGAATACTTAGAATATAATGAGTACATGGAGCCTAATGTATTTAGGCTGGTGTACAGAGCACAAGCTGTTGTAAGAGGGCACATACAAGTTGGTAGTGTTGTCATAGTAGTGATGTAGAGAGGTGTGTGGGGGTGGCAGTATTAAAGTGAGATTTTTTAATATCTTAAGTGTAAGTATTTCTTTCATAATGTTTAAACTGAGGTCCAATTTATGATGTTATCCCAGCTTTACAATGCTGTCCTTAAATCTACACTATTGTTTTTCCTTATGTATTAGAAGTTTAAGCAATTGATATATATAATGCTTTCTTTCAAAATTTCCCAAACAGCCAAACACAAACTCCCAATAAAATATTCCCAAACACCCAACAAAATACAGTATTCACAAATGTCATATAAAAAATTCCTAAATGCCCCTTCAATCTACTAGCTTCCTCTCAACTCTTGCTACAAAGTGTGCAAAAGAAATGAAGCAACTTAAAGAGTATCTCAAGTTGTCAGTAAATATAGCATGGAAACAGATGTGAAACTGTAATGATTGGCTTAGAAACTGTATACATTTTGACAATGTAATGAGATTACAAATAATGAGAAAGAAGGATAACAAAGTGGTACCAATATTACCATATCTAAGAGATGAGCAGGAATATAAGTACTACAGGCCACAGACAAGTAGAGGGAAGATGAATAATAATAATAATTATTATTATAATAACAATAATAAAGATAATATATTATTCATAACATATGCATACATAAGAATACTGCACAAGAATACAGTATAATACAGAGGTATACATATTTGAAAGTACTGTACAGGGGTTGTACTGTATATTAAATGAAGCCACCATTACACAAGGTTTATCGGGCAAAACTTTGAATAATTCCATTAAAAATTTTGGTTCCACTTTAGCGTATTGTCTACCTGGCCATTTCAGTCCGTTCTGGACCATTATCAATAACAGCAAAAATATACAAATACCGAGCAAAAAGAAAATATAGTAAAACACAGCTATCTGCTTAACAACATAGGGTTTAATGAATATAACTTGAACTACTCAGATTTAAGATTACTTATGATGGAGTACATTTGAAACTTACTTTCTTGCTATCAATAATATCAAGGGCATTTAGAAGTGACTGGCCATGGACAAGATGAAGAGAGTGAAGGACCTCAGGAGAAAGCTGTCCTGATGACTGGTACTCTTCCTTCACCACCTGAAGCAATCCCTCCAACACTGCCACGACATCAGGACACCTAGCCATGTCACTTCTGAAACAATACTGCAAAACTTTACTCCAAAATGTTTTTCATCATCACTTCACACATTCACGAGGTATGAAGGCCCTGTGCTTTCTGCAGGACGTAGAAAAAACACGTTTCAAGCCAATCTTCCCTCCATCCTCCCTCTGTATGAAGGCTGTTGAGCTCTTTGCATCATTTTCTAGTAATGATCTCACTACATCCAATAATCCTACATAATTTAATCAATGTGACATTATACTATATACATCTAGTAAAACCCCTCATATTGGGCATGCCCAACTGCTTTTGTGGCAGCATTGTAACCAATATGGCCTAAGAGGTTGCTACTGGCAAATAACACAGACACTGGAGAAGTTTTGTTATGGGATTATTAGCACCTCAGTATGGGATACCTTATCTAAGAAAGTAACCAAGTCTCACCCATTGTCTGAAATGATTTGCATAGTAGTAGCTTCATTTTATGTACAACACCTGTACTTACAATTATACTGCTGCCATATGTTCTATGTATGCATATTATTATGAATAATAAAGAATTATTATTATTCTTGAGGTGGCCTCATTATTACATCAATTGTGGTAAAATTTATGGGGATTTTTTTGTCCTTGTTTTAAGTAATTTTTGTTGTATTTTCATTTTAGTTTGTGTATTGTGGACTGTAAAATAGTTACTGTATCTTAATTTATTGTAAAATTTATGATGCAAATCAAAAGAGAATATATTGTCATGAAAAATGACAATAAAATGGAAGCTGTAAAAGAAATACAGTACCACAGAAATCTTTGTCATAATATATATTCTAAATGGTTCATATAAGTATCAAAGTTTCAAAGTTTGTTGCCGATTAAACAGGTTCCTGTCAACTGTATCCTATTATTCCTGAAGAATCTGTCTAAATTAATTTTGAACTGAAATACTATCTTGGCATTGATGGCTTTGGCAGAGAGATGATTCCATGTCCTGCATTGTGGCTTGTTAAGTTTCAACCTGTTGCTCCTTGTGTGAATTTACCGGAATTTACCCGAGGGCCACTATGTCTCGAGTGGCCTCGACGAGGTCAGGAACCAGGCGGCTTGTCAAAGGTCACCCCCATTTGTCCGGATGATTTTATCTATTTAGCTCTTAAATTGCAGCAGTAAATTACTAAGGAGTAATTTAGGAAAACAACTGGAACATAACATAGAGTAATAAAGTATACTTTAAGTTTAATGGGGCCAGCACTTAAAAATAAACAAAGAACTTACTAAAAGTTGCAACTTACTAAACAAGGAACGTAACTTAGTTGTCACATTAGCATATATAATACACCCACAAGCATGGAAAGCGTTTCATATACTGCGTTACAATACATTAATGCTGAGCACTTCTTTAACAAATGTCAAATGTAACTCGTAAAGCTAATTTTCTAATTATTAAAACCATATATGTATGGTTTGGATACGATAGGTCAGGCCAGCCTTCAAATACGCAGGCAAAAGTCTTGGGTACGAAATGACTAACAACCGATAACTACAGTATAAGGGGTGCATAATAAATTGGCTGATAATAAAAACAATAGAACAGTTGAGACTACAACTAGGTCACCTGGCATCAATATCCAAGTTGCTGGGTTATCTAGCAGTGTTATCCGTAGCGACAATCTTGAGTTGACCGGAGAAAGTTTGGAGGAAGGTCGCAGCCGTCATCTAGTCACTTGGTACACACGACGGATCTCGCACATGCTTACTATTTCCACAAGATAGGTATGGGGTGCATAATAAATGAACTAAACTAAACTATTTCTGACACAAAATTTGTACGTTTGTAATTGAAATTGAAATTGAAATAAGTTTATTATGGTAAAATACACACAAAGGGATGAGGTAGCTCAGGCTATTCTCACCCCATTACGTTTGTAATAGGTCGATCCCATCATCATCAATTCCGCTAGAATTTACCTGCTTAAAATTATCTGTTAGATTAAGGACCTGCCCGAAACGCTGCGTGTACTAGTGGCTTTACAAGATTGTAAATACCACGCTATATATTCTCACAAATCCAATGTACCTTCTTGTATATAAATAAATAAATAAATAAGGTCACATCATCAATGGGTTAGAGGGGTCCGTCCAATTACCACAAGAAACGCAGCGTTTCGCGCAGGTCCTTAATCTAACAGATAATTTTAAGCAGGTAAATTCTAGCGGAATTGATGATGATGATCTATTGATGATCCTGTAATTGCCAGGATCATTGGGCTTCAGTATGGGAACAATTACCAGTATTGCGTGTTTCTATTGTGTGGGCAACACTCCACTTAGGAATGATTTGTTAAACAGGTGGAGTAGTGGATTCCCAGACACCTCACACAGTGCATTGAGTATGTGGCAGGTGACTCCATCTTCACCATGCTGCTGCAGTACATTTTATTCTTTTTTTTTCAAATCCCCCTTACTTCCTGGGCTGTGATTGGTTGGCCATATTCATCATCGCTTGA